AAACGGGATTATTGTAGTGTCGTTTGATTCTTGCTATGTAAAGTTCAATCGAAGTTCTTGTGGATCTTTCTGTTTTGAGATTGTCCTTAGTCGTGAAGCAGAAAAATAAGGCAAGCTTCTGAATCGTTACCATAAGTCCATAACTACAGTGAGTAGTTCCCAGTTCTAAAGGTCAATCACTTCATTTGAATTTTTATAATAACTATCGTTCCTGCTTTTAACATAGTTGGCTGCTTTAGATTGGCTAGTGATATGTATCTTGCATAGCACATTGGCAGCAACAATTATGGAATACTTGTTATCTTTGTTGCCTATGTTGGAGTTGTTTCCTTCTCAAGATGCCCTCCGTTGGATGGCCATTTTTGTTTCTTAAACTGTATGTTTTGGATCAAAAAATATAAATGGTAATATCGAGTTTTAACAGTTAGAATTGTTGATATACTATTCAATTGTGACTGGCTAACGAATTATGTACCTTTCATGTTATATGGGTGTTCTCTGGGTCATTCATAGAATGGGCCTTACACACGTATCCTATGTATTTTTTAGGATTTGCCTCGTGTCGGCGTGTCGGATGGCCGTGTCGGATCCATGTCCGTGCTACATAGGGAATAAGTATTATCATATATGTCAATTAGTGTCTGATCATGCCATGTACAAAGGTCGATGCCTCACCACAATACTCTATCAAGGTATGACAAAGAGAGCCTAATCGATCTTCGTCCACTATGCATTAACATGAGACAGATGAAGGATAAACTCACTTGCAAAATGTGGCCGTTTGTGGCAGATTGACAAAAACTAAAGGAGCATGATCAATTGTCTGACAATGATCCATGGAACTTCATGGTGGCAGTGCCTTTTTGTTTAACTGACACATGAGCAGCTGACCAGTCCATGACTGACCTTGTGATTTTTATTAATTATGTATTGACCTCAATTTCCATCTCATGATTTGAGGTTATTTATCCAACTTTTGATGCTGTTGTTTCTATTCCTTTTACAGAACCAGTTGATTTATAAGGATATAAGATGCGGGGGGAAAGGAATCAGCTACCTTGGTTCAAAATTTTCAATGAAGATTGGAGCATATCAACAATAAATTTGGTCAAAATCAATTAGAAAAAAGTGTGGGATCCAAGGTATTTTGATAATTTTCATGTTCCTTAAATGTGAGATATTAATGGGGAATGAAGCACTCGGTCATAGGTGAAGAGAATTAGAACCGCGAAAGTGACAAAAAATGAATTGTCAAATGGATCATCTGTTTATATGCATGTGAGAAAATGGTATTGCGTTTGTTTAGACTAGTTCTCAAGCTGTGCTCTTTGTGTGATAGAGTAAGAGGTGGTACACATTTTTTATTTTTGCCTTTCATTTTAGCAATATGCACACACATACATATATATCTTATGATTCTTATCGGACTATTCTTCTCCTAGGTGGAGAAAGAATCTCCATCCACATTTTTTACTTTGGGGTTGAGCAACAAATGATCATAATTTAAGGAGGAAGTTTAGAGTGAAAAATAAAACAGGGAAAAGTAGACATTTTGCATTTTAAAAACTACCTGGATAGTTTGAATATATACATTAATTATGTACATTTTTTTTCCTTCTCAAGAAACAATTAAAACAATGGAAATCAGAGTCTCTGGAAACCACATATACCGATAATCTTATCAATTTTACATTAGTTGATTAGAATTATAAGGCTTCTATATGTAGTTACCTCACATTTTTATGCCTAAAATTTATAATAAAAATGTCAGGATGGAATTTCAAATAGCCTGATTTGAGATCTATTGGTTCTTAAAAGTATCATTATCTTCACTAATTACATAAAAACTATTATCTTGACCAATGTTGAAAGAGACGATAACACATAATGTAACGCTTGCCTCCTAGTAATGTAAAATGCAAAATAACATGTTTTGTTATTTATTTAATATTTAATAAATAAAGAATATTCAATGATTTTAATAAATAGAATCTGTTAGACCCTAATGCCACTAAGAAAGAATCCTAGAGGGGGGTGAATAGGATTTATGCTAATCTAATCCGATTTATGCCAATTTAAAACTTTACTAACAAATATATCCTAGCATAAGAGATATGAACAATATATGTGCAAGGATAATAACCCAATGGAAATATGAACACAAACAAGATAGTGAGAATATAAACAATAAGCAATAGACAAAGGCGATATAAGATATGAACACAAAATAAGTGTGCCGATGCAATCACAAACAAACGATATGATCACGGAGTTCGGTCCCCACGATCTACGTCTTCGCTCCTCACCTCGAGGAGATCTCCACTATCACAACCGGGTTTTCTACGCTTACCCGTACAATATTTACACCTCACACTCGGTTTTCTAGCTCATCGAAAATTTTACAATCACTCACAATGTAAACACACTAACTACCACCTCAAGTGTTGGTCTCTAGCCCGTGTCTCCCTCAAGTGTTAGGAATTACAACCTCTCTCTAGGCATTATCACCTACCCCACTCTTCTTGGGACGACCCCTGCTCTCACCACACACTCCTCTTGGTGTACTAGTGTAATACAAAGTGAATCCTCACAAATACAACAATCGGTTTTTCTAGTTCATCGAAAACTTTATAACTTACACACTTGCAATTACAATTCGCACCCTCTAAGTGTTGGCCTAGCCTGTGTCACCTTCATCAAGTATTCGGAATTATCACCTCTCACTAGGTTTTACTACCGACCCTACTCCTCTTGGAACCGACCCCGTCTCTCACCAACCACTTCTCTCGTTGTCCAAGTGGAATACAATGTGCAACTCACAATGAAGCTCACAAATACAAACTTGTTCTCTACAATAAATGAGAACACAATTAAGCTCACTCTCAATGTCACACAAACCCCACAACCCAAATTATACAATGTACGAAAATACAATAAGCTCAATGGTTGTGTGTGTAAACAATGAGTGAATAAAATCAACTAAACTTAATATAAACACTAGCTTAATGAATTAATATTAAACAATTTAAATGTAAAGCTAGATTAAGTTTAGAAAACTTCTCTATGGATAACAAGAGAGAGGGAGAAGAGTGAATGCTCAAACACCAAAGAATGATCTCCACTTGCTCTTGTGAAAGTTTCTTCACAAACTTGAAAACACACTTAAACAAAAACTTAAACCCTTAAACAAACTTGTAAAGCTCTTTTTAAAACATTTCTTTTTTTTTTGAACTGATTGTAAACATGATAATACACATGTTACAAAAACTGGTTTTCAAAAAAGCACTTCCCATTTGAGAAATCTCTTCATTTTACAAAATGGTTTAAAACATGAAAATAAAACATACTTGTTTTGTCATTTTGACTAAACCATGTTTTAAAAACTTTATAAACTGATTATATAGACTTGATAAGAGATACAAACTGTTGTTGATAAGTCTAAACTAAAAACTCAATATTATGCAAAAATGAAGTTTTGCACAATATGCTGATAAATATGAAACATGTATATATATGTAAACAATAATATAGGTTTCATATTTATATAAACTTGTAAACTATAAAACCAAAACTTGTGTGTATATACATAACTATTATATATATACATAGAAACCAATAAAATGTGTGTATATAATATTGAGCTTAAAGTATCTAACACACATAATATAAACCCTAAACTAATTTACCCAAGCTTGTGATCTTCAACGAAACTCTATTTTGGTACACTTGCAGATGAAGCTTGAACTTGGATCTTCAACTTGAATTACAAAGCTTCAACCACTATTCCGCCAACCTCCATTGGATATGATCGTGATTGCTTGATTCCATCCATCCATCCTCCAACATGTTGTTTATCTATAATAAATAGATAAACACAAACACTAGACAAACAACATTAGTGGTAAATTGTTTGTTAAACATCATCAAAATAAAGAGGCAAACAGAATCATCAAAGTTTTCAAATATAATATCACAATTATCAAATATACCATCACAATTTCTCAACTAAAATATGTCATAAATGCTTACCAACCTATACAAAAGCACATGTATTTCAAGTTTAAAAGAAAAATAGTCAAAGAAAAATAGTCAAAGAAAACAATCTTATGTCTCAAGCAATGTTGAAAAATAAGAAAATGCATAACTTAAGGACTTTGGATAGGTTAAAGTACAATGCATAACGTAGTTTACGCATTTTCTTATTGTGTAATTTAAAAAATATAAAATATGTTCATAAAAATTTTAAGAATTTGGAACAAAATATCAAAATACAGAAAATATTTTAATAAAAATTCTTTAATTTAATACAACATATGCATACTTACTAACAAATGTCATAGTAGAGTATTCAAATATATAATCACAAATTACATCTCATTCATAATTTCACATTCATTTTATTGGTCATGTTCACAATTCACAATCACATAATAATGTCACCAAAATAATCTATCAAGGCTTAACAAACAATTTAAAAGTAATTACTTAATTACTACAAGTTTTTAAGAGAGGAAATAATCTCAAGTCTATAATAAATTCCATTAAAGTAATGCAAGTTATATTGAAATAATGCATGCTATATTGAAAAACGTGCAAGTTATATTGAACACGTTATGTTGTAATAATGTAGAGTTATAATGTGTCTGGATAATTTCACGAGGTTATGTTACATTTAAGGTATGTTAAGTTACATATGCAAAATAGGAGATTATTTATATTGTGCTATATTAGTAATATTTTGAAATCTCTTGTTTTGCCCTTCAAGCATTAATTCTCGTGCCTTTTTTTGTCTAAGGTGCTTCCTTAAATTATGACATTGCAAGTTTAATTCTACGTCTAAAATGTGGGATGAGATTCTCTCTCATCCTAAGCAGATAGCATCT